TTTTTTTTTTTTTTTTTTTTTTTTTTTTTTTGGCAAAGACGCAGAATGTCGGTAGTTGGTGGATTAATATTGAATGCCCTGGTTACAGGCCTAGAAATAGATAAGCTGGTTTAGTTCCGGTTTATATACCACGGTCAACCCACCTAATTTGACATTTATTCTACCTGAATCACTTGCAAATCCCAGTTTAAAGCGTGAAGAGACGAAAAAGAGTTACACGCCACACGTAAGCTATCCTTAACTAAGGTATAGACCCTGTCCAACAGAGCTAATCCTGCTTAACTGAAGGTCAAGTCTAGCGTATCCAAAAATTTCAAGTTTCCCCAGGGGTTGCTCGGCCGAGTCAATTACACATGCTTTGGTCCTTTTACATTCCTAACAGCTGTGATAGATCCTACACCAAGCCTTAGCAATATGTGAATATACATTAGCGCACGTATTCCGCTATTTGATGTGCTCGACCAACTGCTTGATGTTAATCAACTTGATGCCGAACTCCTTCCCGAAAGAGACGCAATCCGGCAATCTCTTCATCAAGCCATCCTCGTCCCTGACCAACTCACAGATAACAGCGGCCAGATTCTGGCCGGTCAACTCACACAATTGGACAGCAGCCTCGGTATGGCCGACTCTGGTCTTTAACAACCCTGGAACCGCCCTCAAGGGCACGATGTGGCCGGGCCTCAAGAAATCAGTGGGCTTTGCTCCCAAGTGGCCCAATCTGCGACACGTTAAGGCTCTGTCGGCGGCGGAGATCCCCGTGGTGGTGCCCTCCTTGACATCAACCGTAATTGTGTACGCAGTGCTGTGTCTGTCGTTTTGCAAGGTCTGGTCCATCATGAAGGGGAGATCCAACAAGTCGGCTCTCTCGGTGGATAATGGAGCGCAGATGTACCCGGAGGAGTGACGGACAAGGAAGGCCATCTGGGCTGTGGTGATGTTTTCGGCCGCGACAATCAAGTCACCCTCGTTTTCGCGGTCCTCGTCGTCCATGACAATCAAGAACTCACCGTTTTCTAAAATTGTTAGTAAGGACGCTCGGGTGGACTGCGTGGTACGTACTGAAGGCTTCCAAGGCTTCTGGGATCGGGGTAAAAACGGATGTGCTCATTGGGTTTGTAGGTATAAAAGTGGATATTAATATAGCGATAGGCTTTTCAAGGCGCTGATAGAGAAGATTATATACCCGGTGGATTTTTCACTCTGCGATGCCGAGCGCCTCTCCATCGTGACTACATGGACATCCGTAGGAACAATGACAAAGACATTAGGTAATGCGGATACGCACGTGATCATCGGAACTCTGTCCGTCTCGCTTGAAGTGGCGTTACATCCGGCGGCTTATTAAGCATATCCTGCTTGCATCTGAAGGCCCGAGGTCCAGCAAAGGGTACCAGGCTCTCCTTAGTCATCCAAAATAGGGCTCCAAAGAAGTAGGCGGGTTACCAGAGCACTCCACTGTACTAAACGACTATGACCATACAGGAGAAGGACGTAAAAGGGATGACTTGATAGCTGCCATCTATCATGCCCAGGGTATGATGAAATACCATGAGTAGATGTGAGTATAATTATACTCTGGCATCTTTTCTGTCATGAGAGTAGAAGTGCCTATATGTCTCATTAGCCTTGGTTATTCGAAGAATACTACAACGTACAAGATTTTGGTTTAGATATGAGTTTGTAGTTATGCTTAAAAATGACAGCTGGGCTATTTTTACAGCTCGGCATATATCTGTCATGGCAAACCAGTGATCTTAATCGTAGGGCGTTCCGGTGAAACAATTATCAACACCATGAAGCGTGCTGGATGGTACCCTTTTCCTTGACTCGGCAGAGCACTACGGAAAACCATGATTTCACATAGGAAGCTATCGGTGAGAACCTAGATTGCCGTAACAGATTCTAACCTAGACCACTAAGCACAAATACCCTGCGATAAACATACCTATATCAAAGACTAGAAGCACGACAGAGAGTTTTTGGTAGGTTGTTAGGTCCATCTTCCCAAAGAGAAACGTGCGAAGGAGCCTGACTGTAAGTAAGGCTGCAAAGAGAACATACAGGAGCCATACCGTAGTGCTGTTCTTCTGGGCTTCACTTACAACCCATGACTGAACTGAAATGCGACTGGTGGACATGAGAAGGGCTGTTGAGAGGTGAGAGAGCGTACTAGAGTGCTGCCAGATAAACGGATAGACAAAGTGAAGCTGGCCCAAGGGGACGCCTATGAGTTGGTACGACGGATCGATCCCGTCTTCGTCCATTTCGACGTCATGATAGTAACATACACTGCCATTTTCGAGATCTAACACATACGACTCACCAGACAGCACCACATGTGGCGATAGGACTTGGACCGGCCCCGGGGTTTTTGCATTCGGATGGTCCCAGACGTGCTGATTCATGTAGCCCTGGGCCTCCGGTATGGGTTTATCTTTTTTTGAGAGATGGCACTGTGGATGGTGCTTGGGTTTACCGGATTCCCAATATGTATTGGACACACAGACACACTCAGCTTCACAGGAAAGTACTCGGAGTTCTGGAGCCTCATCGACGGTGGAGCCGTAGCTGCTGGAGTTTCTGGTACCAAGGTCAAGGTGCACGGGGTCTTCCAAGACCTTATCCTGGCCGTAATGAATGACAAAAGTCTGCGGGCTGGTTTCTGGCTCCTGGTCAACGTGACAACGCGTGTATGCCTTTCGGATCGACGAGATGTTGGAAAGGGTTGAGTTCTTGCGCACCTCGGTGGTGAGCTTGTAATGCTGGTCGAGCACCTCGGCAAACCGCTCAAATCTGGAGTAGTCACGCCCGAACGGCGCAAAGCCGACGAGAAACTCGCAGCAATGGAATGCACTATGAGCCAAGGCAAAGGTAAAAACATGGCTTGGGAGCAAGTACCAGACTGAGGGATCGCCAGGCCCATGGGACTGTGGCTTGGAGAGCACGCCTAACATGAAGTATCGCTCAGCCTCCTCAAGTGCCACCAACGTGTACTGGAGGCCATCGAATGTGCTAAGAGGCAGGCAGGATTGGAAAAAGTTTCTGAGGATGAGGGAAACAAAGGGTATCGCTAGGCCGAGCAAGATGGGGTTAACCAACTCTGCGACGGTAGCAGAGTGGCTGCCAGAGTCAATTCCCGGGGAGTACCACCCCAAGAGTAGGTAGGCGGCATATGTAGCCACAAGGGAGGGGACTAGTCCCCACGTGTAATCTAGTTCTTTCATGAATGCCGTGTGGGTGATTTTTGTAGAATGGTATGCATTGGGATAAAAGGTAACAACTCGAATAAAAGACGAGATGAGGATGGCGGTCCTAGAAAAGTGTAGAAACCCGGAGAGAGGTGTGTGAGAGAATAAACTTGTGTGAATATGTCCCACAGCGATTTTATGCGAATATAGATCATAAAATTAGAAACTATAATCACAAAGTGAGTCGACCACAGTCACAATTTTTCTTTTAAGCTTTGGAGAAGACTAACTCCGATCTCCATGTGAAGTTTTAGCCCGTGTCTGTTTGTATGCATCGCATGCTGGCACGTGCATAAAGCCGGAAATTGGCTCCAGCAGGGGCAGCAAAACAAAGTCCAGTGCATGTGTGGAGCTCTGGGAGGATAGACGGTAGACCTGAAATGCAGGTATCCTGTAAGCCACTCTTACCACTCAAAGCACTTAGGATATACTCCACAGTAACTTGTACGGGGCCAATTTGAGTTTCGTAAGTGAGAGAAACTAGAGAGCAGATATTAGTTTCATGCTTCAGCCCAGTAGCAACCTAGAGCAAAATATATGGGGTCTGTGTATAAGGGATTCCTACCTCAGTTGAGCGGTTTTTCATAGAACAATTTCTTCTCCCCAGTTATACATACCTTTCATATCCATAGAGAAAGTTATGGGCTGATATAGGGTGATCAAAAAAGCCGATCTCGGGTCATTCTCACTTTACGTCCTGCTTGCTTTAGAAAATTACGTGTAAGAAAACTGTTAAAGGCCAAGATAGCCAAGGAGGGCCGCTTAGCTTGGACATAGTTTCATCGAAAGGAATGGGAAATTTTTGATTCCTGAGACCCAAAAACAGCGTCATGCACCACTGTCCTCCACAACTGTCCTCTTATTCCTGGTTTGAACCATATGAACAGAAATGCCGAACTAGGGCCAATCGACTTGTCATTAGGTCGTCATCACTATTAGAACGATTATACATTCGCGGAAACCGTCGACCAGGCACACTAATATCCATACAACCAATGGACGTACACAATAATCCACAACGATAAACGAAAAACGCTTGGGTTGTTCATAGCTTAGTTTTCTAGTCTTTCCATTGCCTTTCCAGCAACATGTCTTTGAAATACTGCCCTGCAACAATTTCATGAACTCTGAATGCCCTGTTTCGGGAATCCCTTTATGACCGCCTAGGCTTTCGAGTCAAGTGTCCAGTCAAACGGCAAACCCTCACTGTGGGCAAACTCTCTCACCACTGAGTACCCGTACGCGGCCATTTCCTGCAACGACGTAAAACAACTAATCGGAAGGTAGAACAGGTCGGCAGCCGGGAAAAACGAGCTTTGATCTGCGCGGCTCGCCACTCGCAACGGCTTCCGGGCTTTATTGTCGAAAGTATCTGGGTAGAACTTATTTAATGCATCAAGGTTAAGAATACACTCCGCCCTGTAGAGCATGCTGCGGACATCATCGCAGCACTTCAAGTTGGTTTCCTGGAGCTGGATAATCTTCTCGTTCAACTCACTGAGCTTTTTCGCATCTGCCTCCTTTAGACCTGCCTTTTTGTCACGATACGACACTATGACGTTCTTGAGAATCTTGGCAATGTGTTGCGAGATCACAGCCTGGAACTGGAGACATAGCCCCGCGAGGGAAAGCCGATTCGCTGTCTCTGCGAGCTTGCTGATGTGCGAGATGTAAGGAAGAAGCGAGTTCCAGTTGCGTTCCGACAGCAACTGCTTCATTGCGTGCCGCGAGCGGTCTTCGTAATCAAAAGCTACCATGTAGACGATAAGCGAGTCAAAGCAGTACAAGAGCGCGAGCTTCGGGTTGCTCGTCTTGAGCTCGTCGGCCTTGTGCTTTTGTTCCCGCGCAACCAGCGACCAGTGCGCCTTTTTCTTCATCAAGAGTGACTTGCTCGCCTCTCTGTCCTCTTTCTTGTCACGCTCCTCTTTCTCACTTTCGATCTTCGGCGCCTTTCGTGTCTCCCTCCGTTCTTCCTGGATGTCCTGGAGCCTCCCCGTGACGGATGGCTTCCGCACCACGGCTTCACCGTGCGATGCCCGTCTCTCGCGGATAGCCGCTTCCAGCTCTGTCTGCGCCTTCTTCTTGTAGATTCCGAGGCCCATGGAGATGTTGGCTGGTCTGGCATCTGGTAAGCTTGAGAGGAAGCGCTGGGGGAGCGCAAGGCTGACGTTGAGCGAGAACGATGTGGGCGTTTTCTTGATAATGTACATGTGCCGACCGTTATGTTCCGTCCGTTCGAACGACATGACCTTGGTATCGGTTTCGGGGGACAGTGACCGAATAGGCTTTTGGACAGACTTCGACGAGTTATTAGCTATCGGGCTTGCCTTTACCGGGGAAGTGACGTGGATTACAGGGACAGGCTTAGAGGGACTAGTCATCAGATTCAGCTTAACAGACGGGCTGATAGTTGGCGTGGATTTCACGTTAATCGCATGCGTGCTCGAATGATAAACCGAATTGTTAGAAGACTGGCTTGTAAGAAGGGAAACAGGCTGTAAAGACTGTGGCGAGAGTTTTGGTTTCTTGGTCCGTACTGGTTCTTCCTCCGAGTCAAAGTGGTCAAAGCTAGGCGGTAGCGTCGGTGAAAGCATCTTCATTGGGATGGCGTCTACCCCCTCTGTTGTCGGGAGTGTCGGCGACAAAAGCGGTGGGAGCGTGCCGCTATTCGTATAGGTTTTAATCTGGATTGTTAGTTGTATTCCTCCCATCACAATCCTCTATACTCACAAGTTGGTCTGCATCCCATTTTCGGGGATTGGTGGGCGGTGGGGCACCCGGGCTCAGGGGTTTTTTGACGGTCGGTTTCTTCCGTTTGTGCTCGAGCGTTGCCTGGATGGCGCTCTTTCCAAATATACTCGACTTCATCGACATCTTGTCTGTTGATCTGTGAAGTGCTGCTGTGAATCTGTATCAGAGTTTTTTTTTTCTTTTGTTATGAGTGCCTAGAGTTGATTAGTGTCCTGTACGAAGGGACAGTTCCCCGCGGCAGACGAGATGGGGAGAGGTTGTCAAAAATAGTAAAAAGTGGCTGAGCATTGGACTATAACTTTTGGATCTATAATAAGTTGGATTTTAGTTAAAATGGGTTGAGCCAGGCTAATCAAGCTTACCAGTGTCTGTAAGTAAACGTAAAGTTGACTACACGGTGAGACGGTTGTATGGTCGCCTGTCTCTAAGATATTTACCAATGTGATGGAACAGTTCTGAAACAGGATTGTTACCATAACTTCTAACCCTGGCTGTTCATCATATAACCAAAGGAAAAATTAACGTTGAGGACTATTGTTTGATTGTATAACTCTACAACTGATTCATACACGAAATATATTCCATCTATTGAAGCCACTTAGAATTGGGTGATATATAAATATACAGACGAGATCACCGAATCTCGAGAATAAATATGCAACAAAAACGTAATCAACGTCATATGAACCAGGTTGCGGATAGCCTTCCCTTCCCATAGATGCAACTAGGAGTACTTCAATGGCTTTGAAACGGGGCATGTCGAAAACTCTCTGTTAGTGTAGCAAACGCTAGTTTTTTTTTCAACTGTTCCTTCAATTTCACTAAAGGTACGTAACAGGGAGAGTACTTATAGAACGGGAGACCTACCCCCAAGCTCGGTCAGTCTGTCCAACGTCGCTATGTCTGCGAGACAGGGTTAGCACAAATCGTTCTACCTTCCACTCTTAGATATCATTCTCACTTTCAGTAAGATTGAGAATGTTTGTTTCCGGAAATACCCACCAGGACGTACGCCTCGTTTATCGCTCCATTGTAGGTGCGCCAGGTTCCCTTCGTTGATATGGCTTACTTGCATCTCGACTCTAAGTAACTCTCATTGGTGTAGGAAAACCCATTTAAGTGCAACGGATTATCTTCCCTCCCTTCTAAGAACCCCTGTGCCACTGGACTGATCGCCATGTCCGTAAACTCCCTGTCAAAATTCTCAGCTAGGATCGGGTCAGTGATTATCGGGAGGATAGGTGGTTCCAATGAGGGGTCATGCGCTTCCAAGAGCTTCCAGTCGATCTTGCGGAAGAACCGGTGGTTCTTAATGGTTTCAATGTTGTTATCCCCAAGACGTTTGCTGGGCTCCTTGCGGAGCAAACGGATCAACAAATCCTTGGCATCGGCGCTGAGGTAGAACGGAAACTTGACCTTGTCCTTCAAGATCTTTTCCATGATGCGTTTGTGGTTGTTCCCAGTGAAAGGGGGTGAGCCGGTTAACAAATCGAAACATACGCACCCAAGAGACCACCAGTCAACGGCATAGTCGTACGGCTTGCCCTGAAGAATTTCAGGAGCCATATACTGAGGGGTGCCCGTTAACGTGGTGCACTTATCGTCCTCAGACACCTTGGACAAACCAAAATCGGTGAGCACCAAGTGGCCATCCCTGTCGAGCAAGCAGTTTTCTGGCTTCAAGTCGCGGTAGACGACCCCTACATTCTGGTGCAAGTGATGCAAGCCCAACACCATCTCGGCAACGTAGAAGGCGGCCTTGGTTTCCGATAAAATGCGCTCCTGCGCCAAATGGCTGAATAGCTCGCCGCCCTCGACGTACTCGAGAATGAGATATACCTTGTGGTTGTCCTGGAACGCGTAATACAACTTGACGATGTTGGGATGGCGGACTGCCTCCAAGATGGACTTCTCATTCATTGTGCGCTCAACGTTTTTGTTCTCCACAATCATTGTGGCCTTTTTCAATTGCTTCTGCGCAAAGAGGCGCCCCGTAGCAATTTCCCGTACGAGGAGCACCTTGCCGAACGCACCACGGCCCAACACCTTGATGGGCTCGAAATCCGCAGGCCGTGGCTTGTAGTGCGCGCGACCTTCGAGCGACGACACAAACAGCCCGTCGATGCCGACATCCAACGAGGACCCAAGCTTGAATGAATGAGTGCTACTCATACTGCTGGAGCGCCCACGCCCAGGCTGGTTGATTTTGATTCCAGGTAAATCGGTGAACCCGTCACCAACCTCCAAGTCTTCGTCATCTAGCTGGAATACGGGCGCATCATGGTAGGTCTTGAGATCATCGACGATACTCAAGCTAGCAAGATCACGGTCCATATCCAATAATACAGGCATCGCAGAGTATTGTAGTCACTAAAAAAAAAAGAGTGCGAAGAGCCACGAAGCGCAACGCGGCCAAAAATATAACTAATCGCCGAAAAGTGAAACGTGCTCTATAGATAGTGAAGTGCGGCGCTCCCAGGGCGAGCTACGGCATTGAGTGTGTATAAATATGGACGGAGGCGACGATAGGCTGATAAGCATTCGGGGGTTCGTCAGAGTACTACCAATGATAGTGGCTACTTATTATTGCTATAATCCTATCATGAAAGATGAAGAAGAAAAAAAAGTTACCTTGTAACTACTGCTTAATAAGCCTAAGGTTTACCGATATTGAAACTCTAAGGGCGAAGGGGTTAGCCGTACGTGTGCGAGCCTGAATGTTATCTGGTCCTTCGCCAATTAGTCACGACTAATTTACGGTGCTTTATAGCCCAGAAAATTGCAGGTTTCTAGAATTTCACAAATCAGTATCACTCAACACCTTGTATAACTCGGATCTTTTATGAAATATGGCATTTCGCAGGTGAATGATAATTCAAATGCTATCATAACGGATTTATTTCTGGTGCGGTAATAGGCAAGGTTAAACCCGTTATTTGCATATATTTAGGTCATTTCAAGCTGCGTGTTTCAGCTGAAAATTTCCAGGTATTTAACTAAAGTAGCGAGCTATCCATTGCTACAACATTTTTGGTTAGATCGTATTGTTCAAATCACTCCGAGTCCGATAACAGTATCTGATGTCAATGTTATTTTCTATGGTCTTGGTTCAACATGCTTGCGGTTTCTATTCCATGGCTTGTAAATACTAGATATGGTGCTAGTTCAACGAGGGACTGCCAATAGGTGGATCCGGCCCCTCAAACTCTGAAGGTACGGGTTAACATTAGAGTTTATCCACAACGTTGTCACCTTAATAAGCAACAAAGCTAGACAGACAAAGCCAACGGAGAATATTTTACGAGCCTTCACTCCTTTCTTAGTGAGTCTTTTGGTTTCACTCAGAAGCGGAATAGGTACCACGTATTTCATCGCATGGAATAGGAACATAGCATTCGGCATCTATGTTACCAACACAAGCATGACTGTTAAAAGGTGTAATTGGTCTAAGTGAGGTGAATTAAGATCATTGAGCATCTTCGATCGTGCTCCTCTTCTATCCTGAAGCCAAGGGGAAACCGAACAGAGAAGGTAGCAAACCGGGTAAGTGATCGAGGGCATGGCAAACAGGCACGCTCATAATCTGATAAGCACAAGTCTTAACGGTCTATAGACCCCGCTCTCTTAAAAACATCTTGGTTTTTCGATAGGACTATGCCCTGCTTGATACATCTCTATTAAGTTTACCAAAACCGATACGAGCTGAATGACCGATCACCCTCCCATAGGCACGATGTGTGGATATTGTTCGTGAGTTACTTACTCTGGAGAATTTCTTAAAATGTACTAGAATCGTCCTGCATTTCCGCATGTCAATATCCTAGAACCTCATAAATCTCCGCTTGCTGTGATTTAGCTGGCACCATCTCAGGCACACGGCTGAGAATAATCCCCCAACCTATTATCATATCCCGTAAGTCAGTGTGACTGAGGTTGTGACTGAATTTGCGTGCGGCGTCTTATAGTTTCCGTTTAGCGTACTTGCTTCGTATATTTACAGTTCTACCGTGCGGAGCCCCTACCCGGACTGTACTGTAGGTAACCACGCATAACTTGCATAACACCTGTATCTAAGCCCTAGTTAGACCTGGCTGGCCGTTCAAGGTTATCCCCACGACTTAATGAAGACAGACGATAGTCTAAACGGATTCGCTATGTTGGATGTATCTCCCTCTGGGAAACCGGAGGAAGTTCAAAGATAGCGGATGGATATCAAGCCAATGCACAGATTTAATTCGATTTGGGGTCGTTAGGCAACTTGCTTTTTCGGCTCCCCGCAAACTAGCATATGCTGCGATACGCCCACACGCTAAGCCCGATGGTGGTCAATATCCGAGAAGCAATACCATACCGTGTCTTGCTCTGAAGCGTCAAGGATGGAGCTGGAAAGCCTCCCCCAACTCAATGCAAACCTACATATCCGGCATACGTGTTACGTACCTCAGTGGTGCATGCACATAGTTAGAGCCTTTCTTTTTTCGCAGTCATTCGTTCCATATAACATACCAGGGCCAGGAGAAATCCATGATCGCTGGTTGTCACGCTCCTGACATTTTGGTCTCAGAATTCGCCAACAACTAATATTTGCATCAATATCGTATTTTATTGTTCGTTATCTTTCTCGGTTTTTAATCAACGGTTTTAGTCTTCCCCTGGTTACGTCTTCGTCGACAAGCTTATCAAGAAACTTGTCCGCTTAGAGTACACTCGAGTTTTAAATTTGGCACGAGATTTAAGGAGTAACCAATAGCTTTCTCCTCCACCGAAGTGTCACGATACCCCAGTATTATTAATATCTAGCCTTTTCAAGCAGGAGCAAAAATTTTTTCAGCGCATTGAATAGCAGCCTGAAACGTAAGACCTAGTCTTAAGGACGATACCGACCCTTCTTCAGATATGTGAAGGCACCCAACCAACCTCGGGTACTAAAACTTAACCTACTTGCCCAGTGATAATTAAACTAAAAGCAGGAATTTTGATCCAACGGTATCCTGCGATACTTGATCTCAATATAATGGCACGAGGTAATGATCTGAACACCAATCCCTCGTGAGTACATTAGACGACAATTTCGGTAAGCTCCGTTGTTCTTAGTGTAAAGTTTCGGCAAACTCCGAGTGGGGCTTTTCTCTCGCATACCAAAGTTACCGCTCGGCGATAAGGAGTTAGCTCTGCGCCGCAACGCGGTCATGAAATCAGAGTACTCGCACATGGCCGTGACAAACGCCGATCATGCATCTTTGAACTGATTGTTCAGACAGTACTGTCGTGCAAAATGCAGTACGACAGATAACGAGCCGTGACCCATGCGCTCTTCTAATGGCGGGGTGTGGTCTTAAAATCTGATAAGTATTGAACGCTCGAAGCTTTATAAGAAGTCCATACCCCATTTTTCCAACACATTTATTTTGAAAACATCCATCTAACCATTGGTGCCACACAACCAATAATATGAAATTCACCGAAACAAACCTGAAAGCCGGTAACCACCAGACTTCGAGCCATTCAGTCACCTCAGACAAAGACTTTGAAGCTGACCAAGAGGGTCAGGAACTCACCTTGGATGATGTGATTCCAAAGCTCGACAAGCCTTGGTTTAGAACGCCACACTTGTTAAGATTAAACATTCTCCTTCTCTGCGGGATGCTTTCTAACGTCAGTCTCGGTTACGACGGTTCGATGCTCAACGGGTTACAGTCCTTACCAGCGTGGCGAAAGTATTTCAACCACCCTTCAGGTGCTATTTTGGGCACCCTTGCCAACGGGACCAATTTTGGGTATATCGTCTTGCTTCCATTTGCTTCGTTTATCTGTGATAAATGGGGTAGGAAGCGTAGTCTTATAGCTGGGTGTATAGCGGTTGTTGCCGGTGCCACTATGCAAGGTTTTTCCAATTCTTATGGCTTGTTTTTGGCCAGTCGTATTATCTTGGGTGCCGGAGCGTTTCTCAATGTCGTGGCTTCCGCGCCCTTAGTCTCGGAAACCGCATATCCGACCCACAGAGCCATCATCACCGCCATCACGCTGTCTATCTGGTCCTTTGGCGCGTTTCTCGCCGCCGCGATGACTTACGCTCCTTACATGTCCCTGTTTAGAGACAATAATTGGTCGTGGAGAATTCCTTCTTTGATTCAACTGTTTGTCCCGGCAATCCAGATTTGTTTTGCCATCTTCGCCCCAGAGTCTCCTAGATGGTTGATTTTCAAGGGTCGTTACGAAGAGGCTTTGGAGATCTTGGCCAAGTATCACGCTGGCGGTGACCGTGACTCGCCTCTTGTGAAGTTTGAAATGGCGGAGATCATTGCTACCTTGGAAATGGAAAAGGCTCAAAACAGAACCGACTGGGGAGAGTGGTTCAAGACCAAAGCCACCATGCATCGGTTGAGTCTTGTGATTGCTGTCGGTGCGTTTTCCCAGATTAGTGGGAACGCCCTTATCGCGTACTACTTGACTATCATGTTGAACAACATGGGTGTCACAAACACGGCCGAGCAGTTGAGGATCAATATGGCATTAACCATTTGGGGGCTTACTGCGGCTATAACGTTTGCCTTGTGTGTTAAGAATTTTGGCAGAAGACCGATGTTCTTAACCGCATTTGGTGGGATGTGTACGGCATATGTCATCTTCACTATTTTGTCAGCTCGCAATGCCGCCACCGACTTCAAGGACAAGAATATTGGTATTGCTTCGATTGCCATGATGTTTATCTTCAGCACGTTCCAGCATATGGCTACCCCGGTTAACTTGACGTACGTCATGGAGATTTGTCCTTTCTCTCTCAGAGCTAAGGGTTCTACGATCTACCAAGTCACTTGCGGTATTTGCATAATCTTCAACAACTACGTTAACAACATTGCTATGGATGCTATTAAATGGAAATACTACATTGTCTGGTGTATTTGGATTGCCGTTGAGTTTACGATTGTCTTCTTCTTCTACCCTGAAACCAGAGGTTTAGCATTGGAGGAAATTTCCGCCGTGTTTGGTGAAGAAATTTACCATGGGGATGCTAATGACTATGGGATCCGGACCTTCGAAGGCCAAGCGGCAGAGGTGGGGCCAGATGGGACTACCAGAAATGGCGAGAAAGATGGCATTCTGCACCAAAAGGTTGAGCCTGTGTAGTTTTGCATGGAATTCCCAAAGGGATATAAGTTGGAGTGGTACGCTCGTTCGCTGTATAAACCCTACTGGTAGGGCTGCAGTTTTTCTTCCTTTTCTCTTTTTATAAAATTTACGGCGAGCAAATAAATACCATCATAATGGCTAATGAAAGACTGTAGATTTGATAATTTCAGGATGTGTTTTATGGCTAATCGGTTTCTACGTCTCTGTCGTCTAGTTTAAGGTCGCCAGTATCCGGTTACGGTCAGCCCGAAGCATGTAAACGTTACTGGTATAAGCATATCTGTCTTAAGACGCTTTTAAAAGTAAATGTGCTTATAGCTGACATTAGAGGTTATTAAACGGATAACTCAAGCTTTACAGATTTTAAAGGCTGGAACAAGGATACGGGTAAATGTAACATTCCTGCCCCTCAAGAAGGAAATTTTGAAATAAACTTTTGGTACATATAAGTGACTTTCCAGTAAATTTAAGGAGATAGGCAAAGCTTTTACGACATTCGCATTCATATGAAGTTTGTTTTTAAGTTCCCATAACAAAACTTCCGGGCATTTCTAAACTGCCTGCCATAATCTTCAATTCGTCACTATCAACATCCCACGAGCATAGCCTGCATTTAACCATTCAGTTGGATTTTTTTCCCCCAACTTGCCGCTATCAAACACGGCTCTCCGTTATTCCCAGCAACTCTTCCGGTCATCCCTATACGGCTCTTCCAAAACAGGTGAGATTTTTTTACGTACTGACAGCAATAGAACATCCACTATGGCTTACAACACAGTGGAGGCCAAGAGCAGCCTCGGAACGAAGAAGGCCAAGACCCAAGACAGCGAGTGGCCCGCGAACCTCCGCGAGTTCGTAAATACATGTTTTGTGCGGTCGAAGGCACTCAAGGCTGCGGATAAGAGCGTGTTTGACCTTCAAATTAAGCAGCTCATGAAGATGGCCATGGATCAGGGCAAGATTTGGGAGAACCCGTGGGAGGTCCAGAAGTTGCCTGTGCTTGACAAGGACTGCCACAAGGTGGAACTCGCATGTGGAAAATACGAACGTGCGCCAACGGTAGGTGTGGCTATGGAACCGCTGAAAAAGCGCGCACGCGAGGACAATGGCACACGCGACACAAAAGTGCCACGCGTGGCGCCGGCGCTCCTCGCCAACGACATGTTCTCACAGGACAAGCTCAAACAGCGCGGCGCACGCTTTGTCACCGAGCCCTCGCCCACACCCCGCGTCGAGCACACGGACCCAGACCGACCATTGATCGGCACTTGCAAAGACTTGGAGAAGCGCTACCTCCGGCTCACCTCCGCCCCGGACCCGGCGCGCGTCAGACCGTTGCCTGTACTCAAAAAGACCCTCGCGTTGCTCCTTACGAAACACGCGGAGGGCGCCACGTATGCATACCTCTGCGACCAGTTCAAGTCCTTGAGACAGGATTTGACTGTCCAACATATCAAGAACGACTTCACGGTGCTAGTGTACGAAACGCACGCGCGCATCGCTGTCGAGAACAACGATTTGGGCGAGTTCAACCAGTGCCAGTCGCAGTTGAAGGTGCTCTACGCGGTGCCTAATCTCCGTGCGGAGAACCGCTTTGAGTTTGTCGCGTACCGCGTCATCTACCACTTAATGACCCAGGACTATACGGACGTGTACAGCGTGCGTGCAGCGTTGGGCGCAAGCGACGCGCGCGAGCCGCAAGTCGCACATGCATTCGCATTGGCGCGTGCACAGCAGGCCAACGACTATCACACCTTCTTTCGGTTGTACCGCGCAACCAACACGTACGGCCGGCGATTGGTGGAGGTGTTCCTCGAGCGCGAGCGGCTTATGGCCTTGAGCATCATGGCGCATGCCTACCGCGTACTTCCATGCGCGTTTATCCTGGCAGAGTTGGGTTTTACAGATGAGTCCGAATTGGCTGCGTACTTGACTAAATTCAACCTCCAGGCGTTTGTGGAGATTGGTCCCGCGGGTAGTGTTTTCAAGTGCGGCCAGGCAAAGTTGGTGGTGGACGACTTGAAAAACAGCCAGTTCCGCAAGGTTGACATCAAGGGGCAGGTCTAAGTATTGGGATATGGCCAAGCGGTAAGACTGTATCAAGGAAAAATGAGGATTTTACAGAGAAGATGATTTGAGGGGCTTGGACTAACAGGCTACATCCGAGCCAAGACAGGTTGTCTGACAAGTCCTACCAAACTCTCGTGTTAGGGCATAGACCCCCTGGCGTATGCCAGGGGATAAATAGAACAACGTAAGCATCTTTGGGGGTTGACGTGTGGAGAACAGGGGGTGTCAGCCTTGGTAGCATAGCTTGGATGTCGCGCGATGAAACCGTATCTTAAGAAAACTAATCAGCAAGAATTAAAATAAAAAATACACCTCTCGTTATCCAACCACACTGCGTTTAGTGGATAGGGAGGACTAGTGGCTTTAATCCTTTCCGTTGAACATGATTACCGTTAGGGCTTCAAACTATGTTGTGTAGATACGCAAGTTGTTCGCAGTTCCGCCGTCAGCGCTACATTTGCTATTTGTTTCTTCAATTTTACCGGACCAATGACAAATAATAGCCGTCACTGGTTCATATCTGGAAAAAATTCAAGCCATACCAGTAATGAAGCAACGATTAAGTAGTCACGAGGAAACCACAATCTCGGTCCAAAAAAAAGTGGGGGCCAAAGCACAAAGACATTAACACAACTCTCACTTGCACATTGATATCTATTCAGCAAAAAGAAACGGTTTAACCCCACAATGGTACCTTGAAACTTTCTTGCTGAGGCTTAATGGAACAAATATCGATATTACAGAAAATGAATATTTACAGCACAGCTGACAACCTACTTGTTAAGAAGTATTATCAGAACACATTCTAGTATCCAAAAGCCATGAACAAAGGGATATGCATCACATAAGCTAAACTATCCACTAAAATATTGTAGGGGGTTATGCTAGTCGTATCCCGGAGCCAAGGCCATGATGGAAAAGTTGTGCTTGTTTGCCTCGTCCGCATTATCCATATAATACTGGATCTTGCCTCTGACCTTTTCCTGACTAACAATATCGGCAGATTCGCCCTCAAATTCGCCCAAATCGACCGGTCCGTTTCTCCGTCCGTCTAACTCATAAATGTGGCCATCGCGGCCCTTTACGAAGCACAGAAAGTGAAACAGAACGTCTTCGTCCGCATCGGGGGCCGCAGTACTTCCCTGCTGAGCCAGATCGTCATACGCCTTGGATTCCATGCGTTCCACCAACTCGGAAACCTCCGCCACCGATAACGGGCCGCGGCCACTGACGCTCGCCTTCTTCAAGCTCTGGACCTGGGAGTTGTAAAGCACTAACGAATCTGGGAGGTTAAGGGCGGCGTGGAGCAATGCGTAGAAGCCACAGCCGTTTTTAATGGTCTGTTTGACCCACCGCACCGAGAGGTTTTCGTTGGCATATGTGGGGCGCTGGGCGTCTTGCTCCTTGCGCTGGGCCTCGTAATCGACGGTCAACGGGAAAAGAAGCACGAGTGCGTAGGCTGGGTTTGGAATCATCGCCAAAAGATCAGACTCTGAGATCGAAAAGACGTCATGGAATTCGAGTAAGGGCGAGACCCCGAGCTTGTGCGCCAACGCCGTGAAGATCTCCGGGTTGGATTCGATGGGAACAACAGATTTGGGCATAGATAAGGAGATGTCGATTTTTATATGGTATAAGTGGATACAAACAGTTATGTGTTCTAGTAATGAGCAACAAGTTTTTGCTACGATGAGCTTGCGGCCTGAATTAGCCACCGCCGAAGGTGGGGAAGAGTTAAATATGGAGGGTTATGTGTAGGATAATGTGTCAGGCACGTCTGAATCGATAAATGCAGAATATGCATAAAGTTCGCCTGGTATATTTAGAGAAAGGTGTACTGGGTGATAAACTGGAAGTTCTTGCTTTCAGAAATAGATAAGGGCTCAGAAAAAAATACCTATGTTTTAAAGTAAAAGTTATGGTACTTATAAATGTGCTAAGGAAATAGGACTGTAACCAATGAACATATCAGTGAGACCATGTTACGGTGGATTACAAACTGAAGAATTAGTTATAGGCCGCTTTGACGCTCTGAGAGGGTTGAATTAAAGGTTGAAGAGGCCAATTTTGAGTATACTAACTGATAGGTTTGTGGCAAATTGGAGTTGATAGTTCTTTACTCGTTGGGGGGACTAGGTTGGTGTTGACCTTGATCTGAGTAACATGAAATAAAAAAGATAAAAAAAACCTTTGCTTGAGCTTTTCCAAAGTTTCTTAGTAAAGTCACTAAACTAGTAATCAAAAACCCGCTTTTGTGTTACAACTTCACGAATAACTGACTATACAAGCCTTTTTAACCCATCATGAGAAACACTCATTGGTTATGGCCACAACTTTCAGAGTAAATTCAGCAGCATTGCCATCTGCCATGTACTGGCACCTTCTTAGAATACTCAGAGTAATTTCAGGCAGATGAGCATTGCCGTTGACCGGTATTTCGAAAATAAGCCGTGCTATACGAATAAACCTGAAGAAAATGGCGATACAGAGATGATGAGGTAATATACCTTTGAAGGCAACCGTGAATTTTATCTGCCATAGGTTAAAACGTTGTAGAGGAAGTGAAAGGCAATAACATAGGAAACCGGCACCTCGGGTGAAAAGCACTACCTTATTGATATACAGGGCACTGGCTGAATGACGAAGAAACATCAATAGGATTTATAAACACGATGCTAATCGTACAGAAACAATTACATACAAGAGAACATTAATCTAAGACAACCAAGGTACTGGAGTTGTCCTCCTTGTAAAGCATGGTACAAAGACGCCAACAGGCCATTAACTTTGCCTATCACGGTATAATTGAAAGAACGTTCTTAGCCATCAAAATCACATTGCTGGCTAGAATGTTACCACAACGTTGAGGCTCTCACGGTCGGAGAGCGCCTGCGCAAAGTCGCGGTCGCTCACCAACGCGCGCATCTCCGCGCGTGGCGGGTCATCGAGAAAATAGAGGCTGTACTTCTGGTTGCTCAACAACTTTAACTTAAGATAGTTCCTTAAAACCTTAATGGAGGAGCTTTTTGCAATCCGCAACACAGTATGGTTGGCTGACTCCAAATCACTAAGCTGCAACGCGTTGTCCTTGTTGAAGTAGATCTTCACCTTCACCAACCCGCTCTGGAAGCCCAGCCCCAGAGTCGAGCGCGACTGCGCGGATGAATGCGCGGTGAAAGAGGGAAACTGCGGAATGTTTTCTACAACGGGCGAGGTGGACGGGGTCCGGTTGTGCGAGTGGTGGAACCCCAGGGCTGGCGGGGCGATCGAGGTGCTTGGAGAGCTCCGTCCGTCGGCAGAAGGCTTCTTCCGGAACGCTAAAGGTGGCGTGGATATCTCCTCATCAGAGAGGTTGAAGGCAGAGCCCGAGAGCAATCCCAGGGAGAGATGCGAGTCGCCGGGAAGTTGCTGTGGGTTGTGCTGGTCGGTGGAGGTGTGCGCACTGCGCGAGTGCAAGACACGAGTCCCGGAGTTGCGGCTTGCGGAGCTACGGCTCGCAGCCGTTCGATGCGTGTAATTACTGTAGCTGGAGGTCAACGTTGGCGCAACGTTATGATGGATGTGCGATGGCGCTGAGTTCTGCTGGCTCTGGTAGGACGCCACACTAGGCGGAGTATCCACACTCGCATCGCGACTCATAAAGGTGGATGTGAATGGTAAGTGCGGTGATGAGTGCGGTGACAGGAGCGGCGATGCAGGAGCGGAGAGTCGCGGGCGCGCGAACCCTGGCGCGGAATGTATGCGTGGCGAGCCCGCTGCTGACAGCGCGGGACTGGCGCACGGTGTTGCGATGTGGTCCTTCAACATGTGGTTAATCGTGTCGTTATCCAAACACGTGTAGCGGTCCGACCGCAACTCAATGCCCGGCTCAACCGACGTCGGCGAAACCGGGGCCAGCGGCTGGAACCCCGTCGATAAAAAGTCTGCTAACACGCTGCTGGTGCTGATGTTGTGGAGAAGGCGCAACTTGTTCAAGTAGAAGTGCAAGTCCTGACAGCGCTTCAAGCCGGCCTCCCAGTTGGCGCTGATCTCGGCCTTCGAGATGGGCTCTGGGAGAATGGGTAACGCCTCGCTGATGTCAAGGAGCCGGATGTGCAAGTTGTAGAAGTCTTGGTAGTAGCGACAGAGATAACGGCGGTTGCTGTTGCTGAGAGTCACGTCGACACGGTACCAATTGCGGCCGTTGCTGGTGGTGAGTGCGTTGGAGATGGAGACGGCGGTAATGGAGGGACCACTGACAGGGCTCGCATGGGAGGCCGGTCTGTGGGTATTCGTCTGGAGATTCAGGGGCGGGCCCTGACTCCGGATACTTGCAGGGTTCTGGAGACTCGCAGGGCTCAACGTACTCGCACTTCGACTAGCAGGACCCGGAATTCTTGGAAGACTAGGCACGCTCTCGTTCCCCCCCGGAAGCGACGCCGTTAAGGTCGTCGGTGAGTTCACTGACACCTGGCTCATCGTATCCGGGGTCGCGGACTTGTGCTGCTGGCTGTAGAGCGACGAGTACGTGGACGTTCCTGAAGTGGAGTTGCCTGATGAGCGGTTCGTGGCCAGCTCCTCTGTTTCCGTCAGTATATCTGTCTCGCTTGAAAGCTCGGGAAACAACCGTGCTCCTTGTGAGAGGACCGAGGTGTATGACAGAGGCACGAGGCCCGGGCGGTGAACACGGTCTACAGGTCGAACCAAGTACCAGCCGTCTTGTGTATCGCTGAGTAACTGTAACACATCGCCCTTCAGAACCGAGAGCTCTTTATCGTTTTCGCCAGCAAAGTCATAGCGCGCAAGCAAGATGGTGGGGCTCTGGAAGGGTGCAGAGCTCCCCGATGGGTCCAGAGGCGTGTAGGTGCTGTAGGCTGCAGCGTCGTTGAGGATAGGTGTGGATATTTTCAAGTTCTTGACCGACTTGAGGCGCGGCAAAGTTTTCTTTGCGGTGGACATGGCTCGGAATTACGGTTTAGCCTTGGGTGTCAAAGGAGGGTTATGTTTGCGGTCAAAAAGGAGTTATTTTTGGACAAGTGGCTAAGATTCAAAGTAGTGCCAGACAAGTGAACGAGGAAACTTTTGATGGAAGAGGTTTAGTGTATTCGCAGGGATTCAAAACAGGCTGTTGACGGGACGAACAGTGGCCTGAACGTTGTGGTACGGAGGATTCAAGTAGGAGGATAAAAAGATATAGTGGCGTATGGTGTGCCTCTGAACCTTGGTGAGTTTCCTAATCTTCCGTCTGAGTCTGCGTGTGGATGAAAGGCGGTCTATACAGCTCTCAAATACCTAATCTACAAGTTATGCATCGAATGATGGCGGATCTGACCAACATAAAAAGACTCAGCTACAGGTTTCGCAACGCATTATCATGGCAGTAGACGTAAACAAAAATATCCATGTACAAGGTTTGCGACTCGTTATGTCATATACGTGCATGCAGAAACAATGCATGGTGTCGTAGTGATGGTCGATCGGGCCCATCTGCACGGTAAATATATACGACTCATAGGGCCATACGCCCAAATTCCGGCTAGGGCTCCATTGTTTACACAGAACAGCCTACCACAGAGCCCGCCTGAGACGCAGTAAACGAGAAGCGGGCATCCACCCGTATCCACAAAAAGGGTCTTTCAATCTCTCATCGCTTAAACATTCCTTGTGAGAGGAGTAAATCTGCCTATCCGAGGAGACCATTGCATTCCGAAGCTTTCCCTCGCATGAGCGCAAGTCGTTGTTTGTGAACGGGACGGCCTCCTCATGCGCCTGGGCGAGCGGGCGGGTAATTTGCGTACGCCTGTAATGCTAGACTTGCAGACTAGCACACGCAACGCATGTAATTTGTTAGGGGAAATGCAGCTCCATTGCTCTCCCTGGCTTGTGCTGCAGGGCATTTGTATACCGATCGTAGCTCATGCTGTATTCAATGCCCTGGATTGTTTACATTTTGCTCTGGATGTATACATATTTCAGCCCACTGAATATTTTCTATGGTTCTGCAAAAACCTCTTAAACTTGGTTAGGATCCAAGAATTTAACGGACGTATAGCTTCCAGGGTTCTTGGACGGCCACGGCGCACAGCCTAGCATGTTGATTTGCGCAAGCTAGGTAGGCACGTGCTAACAGCTTTACTCAAAACCTAACCCGTGTCGAGAGGGTAGTCTAGTCAACGCCCAGCGCTCCTAGTCCTGTACCCATGGCGCATGGAAACCTAACTAGTTCGAGGCTTATACCTAACAATTGGCTCTCTGTTGTAAGCTCCGTCCTATTTAGGCAAGTCAGTGTGCAGCCAATAGACATTCATTCTAGAAGCACCGGCGAGGGGAGTTAATCTGCACTGAACCACTAACAGAGCTAAACTATATATAGCTTGAACCCAGATACCTTCTCTAGCGGTAAATATAGAGCCTCCCGATGGGGTGAAGTTACACGGAGACGGTTAAAATAGAATAAAAGCGCGGCATCTTTTCACCGAAAAGTGTTAGGAAAGGCTGTGTTTCTTACCAAGGCTGCCATGCGGAAAGCTGTCAACAAAGCTAATGGGAGGAGGAAATCTGGGAGAGCTCAAGGCTGAGTTCACCATGGTCTTACCCCGCTCCGTGGCTAAACCCCTCTGAGTTTGTGTGGGATGAAGCAGAAGGCATACCGCTTCGATATCGCCGATTTCTTCGTATTGAGTGTGATTTACAACCCATAAAGCCATGCAAATGGACCGTATGGAGCTCGCCTGTTTACAGCGCAGCTTCCACTAGACAACTGTCGCAATGTTGGCTGCAACGTAAAAAACGGTTTGAGTCCAAAAGGAATGGTATGATTTCGCTCAGGGTCGGACTAGGGACGTTCTGCGTGTTAAGCAGGTGCCATAACCAACTAGACCACGAAACCATTCCGCGACCGTCAGTCGGTAGGTTTATTAATATTCGTATTTTCTCTTACACTTGTATTTTTCGCTTACTCTATGTACCGTAATTCGTTCCAGAATACAGACACGAACCTATTCAGTTATATTCAATTTTTCCCCATCTAGCCTGTCGTTATAACCACAATTAGGGTCCTGGTTGTCTGTATATATTCGGCAGGTGGCGGCTAAATCTCTCCCATTTCGTCCAGCATCGTAGATATGCTTAGCATGGATAACTATAACTTACGTAAGTTGTGCTGATAACCCAACGAAGATCTTTGCGGGGACTAAAACACACTCCTAGTTTTTTTCGCTAATCAGACCCATCTCCGATGTGGCCAAATGCGCATGTATACGTGCATATGATCATGGATACAGGGATTAGGAAGCCACGTGAAAAACTAGGCCTGCGGAATATACTTCGGTTAAGGGGTCAGTATCTTCATCCAACAAACACGTGCGTATGCGTTTAGGTCACCAGGGGTTCAAATGCACGTGCATGTATCATCTATCAGTTCTAGCTGGGGGTCTGTAACTGCTGGTTGTAAAACCATAGTGTAAATTGTATGTGGAAATGCATTGCACTCAAATATATATATATGTATGTAAGTTCTGATATATATGTCCGAGGAGAGAGTTCATATATAAAGATTTATGTGACATAAGACGTATTAATGGTTTGCATATGTGAACAAGTCTATAATTTAGATATGACTTAAAGTCTGAAAATTATGCTTTTCAAGCAGAATTATAAAAACATAAGTTTATCTTTTTATCGATCTTGTTAATTACACACTAATGGGAAAATACTGACACCACATCTTCGCAAACACTATTTTTTCCCCAAATATAACACTATATATACAACCATATTGGTTTCTAATAAATATAAGTAATAAATATTCATGTGTTTAAAAAATCCCTTATTTTCATACCGCATGTTTAAGTTCTCTTTTATACTAATTAGACAAACTACTAATAGAAATTCCTAAACCAAAAAAGCCTCACTTATATCAACCTTTCCCTTTTATAACATGCTTCACAAACGCTAACCACATTTATTACGCACCAAACCTGTCCTTAGTCTGCCCAATGCCATCCCCCTATCGTGCTTCTCTCCTCCGATGCCTCCCCGTCCTGCACTGAATCTGCCGAAATAAAAACTCCACAATGCGCAGGACGCGCGAAACTTTTTTTGCCTATATGTGCCAATGCCACGGCTTTTTCAACCCAGCAAACCTCCAGCGCTACGAACCGGAAAGATGCACGTTCTTGTATGTTTCTAGAATGTCCGCAACCTCACAGAGATACTAACGTACTAGCTCACCAATGACGATGGCCCGCTTTGCGATGCACACTCGCCATACATTGCGCCCTTGGCGGCGGCTATCAAAGCGCATACCACGTGGGAATTGTCGATTGCGACACCAAGCGCTCCAAGATCATGGATCGGGAAGGCCCATTTTGCGGACCAGACCATAACAGCGGCATATCTCTACCCGACCGAGGGAAACAGCTATGACGGTCCGTTTGCGGAGCCTCAGCCGGAGTTGCTTGCGCAAGGAAGGACCGAATGGGTGACTGTGGACAGCACGCCAGCGGCAGCCTCCGACATGGGTATCCACCACTTGTTCCAACACAAGGCGCCGATTGATTTAGTGATTTCTGGGCCAAACTTTGGGGAAAATGTCAGCTCCGTGTTCATGCTCGCGTCCGGCACTGTGGGCGCATCCATGGAGGCGGCCTTGCACGGGATGAAATCAGTGAGTTTGTCGTTCAAGCATGAGCCGGAGCATATGCTCAAACCGGAAATTATTACCGAGGCTTGTCATATCGGTGTCAAGTTGATTGAGCACTTGTACCGTCAGTGGCCGCAAGACCGCTCGGTGGACCTCTATACCATCAACGTGCCTATGGTTCCATCTTTGAAGCTCGGCGAGACCAAGATTGAGTACACGTCTGTCTTTCAGAACACTTGGGGCTCGCTGTTTGTGAAGGACCCGCTGGCCCAGCAGTGGCAGTGGCAGCCGGATTTCGCCCATGTGGTGCGCCAAATCGCAGCGGATAAGGCCCAAGGCGTCCACAATGACGCTGTTTGCATTCACGATGGAAAGGTCTCGGTTACCGCGTTGAAGGCCTCCTACAAGGATGTTCCTCTTTCCGGTGAGATTGTGTTGGGCGGATTGAACGAGGGTGTTTCTCGCTTAACTGTTCTGGACCGTGTTTCGGCGACCGTCGCCTTGACTATCCCAAAGGATGCATACATCTACGAAGCGCTTTTGGCAGCGGTTAATAAACACTTGAACGCGGTAGTTGTGGACACATTGCCAGCGACAATCGCGTCCAAGGTGTTCCACTTCGGGGACTACGAGGAACTCAACACGGATGAGGCGTTCAACCCGAACTACCTCCTCTGTTCGTATATATACCGCAAGGCGTTGATCCGCAAACACTACTTGGCGCACACCATCCATAGCTACGTAGTGAAACACCCACAGTCGTGCTTGACAAAGAACTTCCCAACCACGTACCAGTTGGAGGTGGACTATGCCGAGTTCTTGGATGAGTCGCTCGATGACTGCTACGAGTTGCGTGAAGAGATCATGGAGGGCGAAAAGACCTGGATCTTGAAGCCGTCGATGAGCGACAGGGGCCAGGGGATCCGTATTTTTCAGACCGTAGAACAGTTGCAGGCCATCTTTGACTCTTTTGAGGAGGAATCCTCCGATGAGGAGGAGGAGGAGGAGGAGGAGGAAACCACTGAGCACAAGCCGTATGGCGGGGACAACGGGGTTATTACCTCCCAGTTGAGACACTTCGTGGTGCAAGAGTACCAGGCGAATCCGTTGCTATTGCCAGCCTACAACAACAAAAAGTTTCACCTCCGCTGCTACGTGGTGGCCTCGGGGGCCTTGAAGGTCTACGTGTACAAGCCAATGTTGACCTTGTTTGCCTTGTCGCAGTTCAAGCTGCCGCAGGCAAACGACAACGACGAGATTGAGTTGTACGGGCACTTGACCAACACATGTTTACAAGGCGAGGAGAATGCGATTTTGAACAACTCAGTGGTAGAGTTTTGGCACTTAGAGGGAATTTCGGACACGCAGAAGCAGCAGGTGTTTGCATTGCTCTGCGACACCGTTAGCGAGTTGTTCAACGCCGCTGTCAGCGTCGACAAGATGAATTTCCAGCCGATGGCCAACGCGTTTGAAATCTTTGGCGTGGACTTCTTGGTGGATGACGCTTTTGGTGTCACCCTCTTGGAGGTTAACTCATACCCGGACTTTAAGCAGACGGGAGACGACTTGAAGGGGTTGATTTACGGGTTATTTGACGACGTGGTGAGCGAGGTGGTGGCACCGTTTTTCCACGGGAAGCAGGGCACCTCGCATAACTTGGTGTCGGTGTTGGACCAGTCCACCAGTGGGGCTTGGTAGTGTGCATGAAAAAGATTGCTTAGACAATGGTAGAGGAAATGGAAAGATGTATTATGATCACCTTTTAGCCGTAAAAAGTGTCTTGAGCGTATATGCTATACTTGTGAGGAGGTTTGGACAAAATGACAGGCTAGACTGAGTTAACTTAACAGGTTGGCTAGGCTTTAAGCCTGCTCCTCTTTGTATAAATAACACAGGAGTGCGTTCTGGAGGGTCAAGAAAGGCAGTTAAACGTGATAGAGTTCCATATCTTACGCTACACACTTCAATACCATTTAGACGTTTGGTGTCACAGGTATATCACGGCAAGACCCCCAAACAAAAGGGCTTTGAATTTCCCAGCCTATCAATTCGTCAATGTAAGAATTAATACAGATCTAGATATGTTCCAGTAAGCCTCTCAGTGTAGAATACACGGACTCTTGCCTTTAGTGCCCACATAACCGCTAGCTTAACTATTATCAGATATACCGAGAACGGACTCTCAAATACGGGTATTCCGATTACCAACCTATTCAAATATAACCAATACCCCTCACCGGTGTAGCCACACCAGTGTGTATTTAGGGCTCCCCATCATAATCCCCTCCCATTTCCTTGCACCACTTGAACAATTGGTCCTTCAACCGGTCACTCCGGATCAACCCCATACGCAACGACGTCATGCACCGAATATATTCCTCGGACCGCTGGAGAGCGATCTGGGTCAACTGGCGGGTCTCCTCGGCGGATTCCGCATCAATTCCGAAGTTGACATCGGCACTGAGCTTGGGCAACGCAAAAAATGGGTCCTCCTCGTCAAGAAGCTGCTGCCGGGTGATGCGGCGCTCCTCAAACTCCGGCTTCGCCGCCACCTCATCCCCCTCAAGCTCTTTCGTCACGTTTGATGTCAAATTATGGTCGTAGTCCGGCAAGTCAATGTTATCCGCAAGAATGCTATCGGCATCGTCGCCCAAAAACACGTTCATCAACTTCATCAACTGGATAACCGTGTCCTGCTCTTTCTCGATGATCTCAATCGTCTGCTGTGCCAAGTTGCGCGTTACCTGGCTGTGGAATGTCTTGGAGATTGCAGGATGGTGCACCACGTCCGATGGGTGGTAGATCGGCGCGAGAATGTGGTCAAGCCGGATTGTAGCGTAGGGATCCTCAGACTCTGAGTTGTTGTCGAACCGTTCGCGGTCCTCGCGTTTCACGGCATGGTTTTTGATGATGAGTCGCTTTTCGCGGTTGAACTCAACGGTCTCGAGCCCGAAGGTGCCATTTTTCGACGAGAGCGAATAGCGGTTGAGGTGTGCTGCGTTGCGCTGGAGCTTGTTGCCGCGATTGGACTCGCAGTGGCCGTAGTCGTCGGAGTCGGACTCGTCAAGTTGCGTACGCGTCCGTTTACTCTTGATCGCCTGCACCAAGCGCAAAAGTTCGTTAGGGGCTGTGGATTCAGTCATGTGTAGATGAAGAGTGAAGGAGATGGAGGTGAGCTAAAGCAGATGTTAAATTTAACCTGCGGTTAAGAAGAGCTGATCACGTGATGGACAGGGAGATTCTTAGATTTCGCAGAGGTGGGTTAATTGGAAATCCAGAGTGGCTTGACCTGTTCAAAGGTTCATTTTGGTCTACAGCCAAATGAAAGCGAGTTTTTAAAATAAAATGTTTGTGAAAGTGTTTGGTAAGAAAGATAGGTGCAAGTCACGTGATCAGATACTGTCTATGAGGCTGGCACAACACTCGATGCCCCCTTTGACCTAGGCTTTCGCCTTTAACGAATGAAATAGATCTAGGAGGGTATCTACGATTTTTTTATCTTTCTCTCTACGCTTCTGACGATAGCTTTAGGGCTCAGTTAGACTATGAATCCCCTCAGGGTGGTTTGCGGGTTTCAAAACTTGTGCATAGAGTCATTCCTCACAATTGAGAAGGAAAATAATGAGTTTAAGCCCTTTTTGCTGCATTATCTAACCAAATCTGTCTACTGAACTATGTTTAATTGCACCACGGCCCATTTCAAGTCAGTTCATGAGTATAAGTCTCTAGCTTTACCTCCTGTCCTCTATGCATTTATGTGCGCAGGAGGCTTATATTCCATTATGGCAGTGGCAAGCGTAAATGCGTTGAGCCATACAAAATTATCTGGGTAAAAGGGGGG